AGAAAGAAAAAAAGAAAAGAAAGAAGAGAAGGAGGAACGAAGGAAGGAAGGAAGGAAGGAAGAAGGAAGGAAGGAAGAAGGAAGGAAGAAGGAAGGAAGGAAGGAAGGAAGGAAGGAAGGAAGGAAGAAAGATGTTTCTTATATTAATATAGAATTGGCTTATTATTATTTTAATGAATTATTAAACATTTAAAGTTTTTCTCAGTTTTGATATCAGTAGAGTTATGCCATAGAACCTAAAATTCTTTGGGGTCTGTGCAAGTTTCCAGAAGTTAAAGTAATTCTGAGACCTGAAATTCTAAAAAAAAGTTGGAGGAAAGCCACATATGAGACTTCCCAAAGAATCCCTGATTTACACAGGACATAAATCTACAACCAAAGTATTAGACAAGAAAGTACAGTTGCTCAAATGGTTTTGAGCAACTATCTTCCAGACTCACAGCTCATAAACTAACAGTTGTTGGTAAAAGGGGGTAGAAATACACCCAAATTTACATATATGTGTGTACATGCACATACATAAACATATTCTAGCTTTTTAAAAAAAGATTGGGGGGATAGATAACAAAAATAAAAATTCAAGCAATGCTTTTATTAGAGACACACCTAAAATAAAGATGTTAAAAGTAAAAGAATAGCAAAATTCAGAAAAGGCAAATATTAACCAAAAGAGAACTGATGTGGCTATATTATCAGCAAACAAAACTGACTTTGTGGGAAAATAATAACTAAAGGTCATGAGATCGGCCAGGCGCAGTGGCTCATGCCTGTAATCCTAGCACTCTGGGAGGCCGAGGCGGGCAGATTGCTCGAGGTCAGGAGTTCGAAACCAGCCTGAGCAAGAGCGAGACCCTGTCTCTACTATAAATAGAAAGAAATTAATTGGCCAACTAATATATAGAGAAAAAAAAATCAGCCAGGCATGGTGGCGCATGAGTAGTCCCATGGCCGAGTGGTCCCAGCTACTCGGGAGGCTGAGGCAGTAGGATTGCTTGAGCCCAGGAGTTTGAGGTTGCTGTGAGCTAGGCTGATGCCACGGCACTCACTCTAGCCTGGGCAACAAAGTGAGACTCTGTCTCAAAAAAATAAACAAATAAATAAAAGCTAAATCCGGCTTCAGAAATTAGAAAAAGAAAAACCGAACAAAAACAAATAAAGCATAAACGGTGGGTGAAATAATGATGGAAACGGAAATGAGTGAAATAGAAGGCAGAGGTAAACCAGAGAGGACAAGGAAATCCAGAGTCACTTCCTCGACAGACTTGAGGCAAGACTGACCGACTAGGAAAAGGGAGATGGCGCACACAATCACAAAAACAGGACGTTAGAATCTCAAATGCAAAATACAAACGAAATCCTCTCCTTTGCAGCAACACGGATGGAACTGGGGGCCGTTGTGTTAAGTGGAACAGCCACAGGCAGAAAGACAAATGTCCCGTGTCTCATTCATATGTGGGAGCTAGAAAAGCAACCTCATGAAACCGGTTGCCAGAGGCCAGGAAGGGGAGCGCAGATGAAGGGACGTTGATCGATGGGTGCAAACACATGGTTTGACGGAAGAAACAAAACCTGGTGTTGGACAGGTCAGTGGAGTGACTACAGTTTACAATAATCTACTGGACATTTCAAGATAGCCAGAAGAGAAGAGCTAGAATGTTTCTAGCGTAAAGACAAATATTTTATAATGCTAGCACTCTGCGTGGCCGAGGTGACTGGCTCCTTTGAACTCAGATGTTCGAGACCAGCCTCAGCACGAACGAGATCCTGTCTCTGCTAAAAATAGAAAAATTAGCAGGTCGTGGTGGCGCACACCTGTGGTCCCAGCTACTCGCGAGGCTGAGGCAGGAGGATCGCTTGAGCCCAGGAGTTTGAAGCTGCTGTGAGCTGTGATGATGCCACTGCACTTTAGCTGGGGCGACAGACTGAGACTCTGTCTCAAAATAATTAATTAAAAAAGAGGACAGAAAAGACAAGTATTTATGGTGATAAATATCCCAAGGACACTGACTTGATCTGTACAACTATATGAATGCACTAAATTCTCATATGTAGCCCCAAAATATGTCCATCTATTATGCATCATTTTTTTAAAACAATGGACCACAGACTAATGGAAAATGTGAAACTATAAAACTAGTAGAAAAAACATAGAAGGAAATCTTCTGGGCAAAGAGTTCTCAGACTTGACACCTAGAGCAAGGGGAAATCTGATCAAATGGCCCCATCCAGATGTTAAAACCTTTTGCTGTGCTCGAGCCTCAACGAAGAGGATGAGAAAACATCCCGCGCAGGCGGGGAGAAGACACCCACGAACCCCAAAGGTCTGTCATTGTCATTTGTGCATTCTGTGTTTGTGAATATGCTCACTAAAATTCATCTGTACCCCCGAATCAATCCTTGGGGTGTCCGCACAGTTATTTGTGGACTTTCGCAGATCAGGGAAAAACTTGGGCAGCCAGATGCAGACGCTGCCAGCTGAGGTCGAACAAGGTGACACCTGCCTTCTGGCTTCAGCTGAGACTGTGACAAAGTGTCATTTCATGGTCTATTTTGTGCTGCATTTGCCACATTTTTGTGCTTTTGGTGGTGATTCTGCTGTTTGCAACGGCCTCCCCGCACAGGGCTGCGGTGCCGCCTGCCGTCCCTGGGCGCAGGAAGGCCGCGCGGAGAACGCACAAGGTGAGCCCCGCGCAGGCGCGGGTCACGGATCCGTTGGCCGCGGGAGCTCCACGGGAACGGACCTACAATCTGTACTGAATAAGGAGTCTCTAAACAGAAACACGCGTGACACGTGGAATGGAATGATCGGTCGATGGAAATGTGGAGACCAGAGGCTCGCGGGCAGCTCGCCTGTGTTTCCCCGAGGATTTGCTAATTTGGCTTTTGTGATGACTTTACTGAACGTAACTGTCACCAGGTAACGAGAATCGCCGGCATCTGACAGCGCCAGTATCGAAATGTGCGCTCAACAGTGAAAATTAAACATCCACAAGCCAATTAGAAAATGGGCAAAAAACGCTTCACCAAAGAGGACAGATGGCGAACGAGCCTATGGAAAGGTCTTCAACACCAGCAGCCCTCACGGAAATGCAAATTAAAGTGACGTCACTCTGAGTTGATCAAAATGGTTAAAATTAAAAAGTAGCGACAACCTCAAATGCTGGTGAGGATGTGGAGAAACCAGATCTCTCTCTCTCTCTCTCTCTCTCTCTCTCTCTCTCTCACACACACACACGCACGCACGCGCTGCTGGTGGGATGTGAAGCGGAGCAGACACTCTGGAAGACGGGTGGATTTTTTTAATGAAAGAAAACATGCATCCACATGCAGAACTGTCCCAAAATGAAAAGAAATGTAAAATAATTTAAAAAATTAAAAAAATTAAATTAAAAAAAAAAAAAAAAAGAAAACATGCAATTACCATACGGCCGGCAGTTGTGCTGCCAGGCATCTATCCCACAGAAATGGAAACGCGTGTTCGCAGGATAAACCGCACACAGATGTTTAGAGCAGCCGAGTGTCATATCAGTGGCGTCTCAGCTGCTGAGGCTGCCAGGACAGGGTCCCACTGACCGGGCGGCTGACACAGCAGAAATTAATTCGCGCGCAGTCCTGGCGGCTGGAGCCTGAGACCGGGGTGTCCGCGGGGCTGCTCCTTCCTGAGGCCTCTCTGGGGCACGGACAGACACCTTCTCCGCGCGTGCCCACAGGGCCTGTCCTCTGGGCGTGCACCCCTGGGTGCCTGTCTGTGTGTCCAAATTCCCTCTTCCTACGGGGACACCTGTCACACTGCATTAGGGCCACCCCGTGACCTCATTTTCACTTGACCACCTGTGTGTGAACACCCAGCCTCCAAACACGGTCACATTCTGGGGTCCTGGGTCTTAACGCTTAAACCTACGAATGTGCTGGGGGGCACACAACTCTGCCCACAACAAGTGGGGGAATGGTCACACTGTGGCGCGCGCACAGGAAACGCGACTCAGAAACGAAAAGGAACGAATGATGGGCACAGGCAACGGCATGAAGGGTCTCCAGGGAATCACCATGAGTGGAAAAAAAGCCCCTAACCTGGGGCCACACCCTGAGGACAGATGTGCACGGCTCCCACGGGCTCTGGGCGACACGCGCATGCAGGGCAGGGGCTGGGAGCACCTGAGCTCTCGGCACAGGTGTGTGTTCCAGGGCACACCCCACTCGCTCCGGGTCACAGAGGTCCAGGATGCCCGTGCCTGGCTGTCCCTGGACAGGAAACTGGCCTCGAAGCCCGATCCAACGTCTCCTGTCACATCAGAAGCAGCAGCTGGCAGGGCTGAGAGCCGCACAGTGGCACCTGCGTAGAAACCGCCCTCGGATGGAGGCGTCCAGAGCACGAAGCTCTCGAAGGAGACGAGCCTCGGACCCCCCGGCTCTCAGGGCCTTGGGGGTGTCAGGACCGGACCGCCTGGCTATGACTTTGCCAGAGGAGCAGAGTCCACCCGGCTGGTTGGGCCTCACCCACGTTGTCCTTGCCTCCCACGCCTGGGTCCAGCCGGGGCGCAGCCAGGCCCCCTCTCCCCTCCAGGACACCTGGCAGCTGTGCCCTCCCCCTCCGCCTGGGTGACAGCAGACTGCACCTCAGATCAGAGCACACGCTGGGCCACCGGCCAGTGACCACACTGCTGCCGGTTCTTGGGGGGCGCACAGCCCTTTCTAAGCCCCAGAGTAGCCGCACAGGCTCTCTCTGTTCAGCTCACCGCCACCCGCCAGTCCACTTGGCTGGCCAGAATGCCTGCTCCGTGCCCTGGGCCCTACAGAGGCCAGCTCAGAGCCTCCAGGGCTGCCCCCAGTGGACTCGGTACCCACCCTAAGAGCCCTCCCTCCCCTGCTCCCAGTCAGCCAGGAACTCTGCCTGGCGTGTCCAGGTGTTCTCCAGGGAGGGCTGTGTGTGTTTGGTCCGTCCGATCCCAAAACCAACGCCCGCCCCTCCACCCAAAAGGAAACCAGAGCTCCAAACAGGCTGCTTGTGCGTCACACTTTAATAGGCGCCCCGTCACACGGAGCTCACATTGCAGCGGGACAGGGAGAGTGAGTGGTTCAAAAGGGGCCTCACCCGACAGCAGGTCACACTCTGCCTGGAAACACACGGCTACAGCTACGGCTGAGAAACGGCAAACAGGAATCACACGAAAGCCCTCGCTGCCAGGCCCCCGCCAGCGCAGGGCTGCGGACACAGGGCGCGGCCGTCTGCGCACACCGCGCGGAGATACGGCTGCTCGGGTGAGCGCAGGTGCCGGGGCCTCCACGTGCAGACGCCCCGTCCCGCTGCATCCAACACCCCCGGCCCGAGGACGACCGCACGATCCACCCTGAGACGTGCTCCAAAGCGAGCACGGGGACACGAGTCCCAAGGCCACGCGGGCTGCAGAGACCTCCTCCCTCCAGGCCCATCGGGGCAGCACGGGATGCAAGGACTGGAAGCTGCGGCTCTGGGCAAGGACGCCACCCCGTCCTCCTGCGGCAGACTCCACGTGGGGCCGAGTCTGGGTCTGGTCCAAGGTGGGCTTAGGCCACCTTCTCCCCTCCCGGGGCCCAGGAGGGTTCCTGCTGCTCCCAGCCACAGAACGTCCACAGACAGGGAGACCATGGCCGTGGGACCCTCCGCAGGGGGCGTCGGTGGGGCCAGGTGGCCTGCCCGCCAGGCCTGCAGCTCTGGGCCTCGCAGGAGCACACGACTGTCCCAGTGCAGCGGGGCTCCCATCCTGCCAGGCACAGCAGACGGACCAAGAGACGCTGGACAGAGGCCCGAGGCACCGACCTTTCCGCTGGCCTCCCAGAGCCAGAAGCATTGCGGGGCTACTTGGTGGCCTTGGGCCACCAGTCTGGCACAGACACAGTTAAGGCCACGTGGTCACTCTCAGAGGTTCGGAGGTGGAGAGGACCCTTGATTTTCTCTGACTGGAGCAGGGCCAGCCCCACATCCCCCTGGCCAGCCCTGAACTTGCCAGCCGCCTGTCCCGACTCCGTCAGCACCGGGGTGCCCGGGGAGATGCCGCCGGCGGGAAGAGGGCCCGAGAGACGCACAGGGAAAAGGCGCTTCCGGATGACGCCCATGTGGTGGGTGCGGGCTGTCAGCTCCTGGCCTATGTAGCAGCCCTTGGTGAAGCTCACGCCGTTCATGAAGGCCAGGTTGGACTCCAGGGGCAGGGCCACTCCTGGGGGCAGGTCGCGCACCCCCTCAGGAACGCCTGTGGAGACCCGAGGGGAGAAACCGGGGAGAAATGAGCTCGGCCAGCCCTGCTGCCCGCCCTCCCCTCCCACGCAGCCCCAGTGCCCCACCGCCCTCACCTTGCTGGTATCGGAGCTGGTGATAATCCCCCGAGTGCCCCAGCCGGCCTGCGGGCACCAGGGCCGGGCCCTCCTGCTGGGTGAGGAGCCGCCACCCCATGCACGCGGTCCGGGGGTCGCGGGTGAGGACAGCGGCAGCCTCCGCCTTCTCCTGCAGCGGCGCGGCCCCGCCGGCCTCAGGGCCGCTGGGCAGCACGGCCCACACTCGCAGCTCGGGATGCGCCTCCACCGCCACCTTCCGCCGGATCTTGTACAGCGTGAGGTGCTTCTGCAGCGCACCCAGCACGGAGCTGTCACACTCCAGGAGGAAACCCGCTGCCTCCTCTGCGCGCTCCTGGAGCCTGCAGGGAGAAAGGCAAGGGCGCATGGGTGCAGGCAGGGGCCCCGTCCACCGCCGGCTCTCCAGCCCCCAGCAGGACCAGAGCGCCCAGTGCGCACAGCCTGCGTCCACAGTCACCTGCAGCCAGGCGCGCCGCAGGGATCAACGCGCAGCGAGCCGTGTGCTCGGCCACACAGGACTGTGCTGCGAGGGCGCGCCTCATCCTGGGCAGAAAACTGCGCCGCGGGGGACCGACACGCAGCGAGTCGTGTCCACAGCCACATGGGCTGCGCCTTCCCAGCCGGTGGCGACGACACAGGCAGACAAGCCACGGAGAGCAACGCACAGAAGAGCATTCACAGCGACACCGTCCGGTTGCGCCTCCATGGCGCACATCAATGAGGGCCAAGAACATCAGGGGACCATGGTGCAGAGCCCTGCCACAGCTGCACCCCCACAGTGTGTGTCTTCAGAGGAGACAGGAATGCACCCTGGACCAACAGGCCGACAGCCGCACCCACAACCATGCAGGCGTGCGCCTCCAGAGCGCGCCTCCACGCTGCCAGACAGGCGCACCCCGGGGCCAGAGGCAGAGAGCCTCGCCCAAAGCCACTCAGTGTTGCACCCCTGGCGCACATGTCTATAGGGACAGACAGACCCCCGCCTGCGTGCAGAGCTACAGTAGCCTGCCAAAGGGCATCACCCACAGTCGCCCAGCCCAGGGCAGACATGACAGAAGGCAGTCCACTGGCTGCAGGAGCCGCAATGTGACGTGCAGGACAGGACAACAGGCCCAGAACAGCCACCCAAGAGGAGCCGTGCTCAGCCATGCTCAAGGTGAGGTGGAGAGGTGTGAACAGCCACCTGGGAAGCCATGGAGTGGCCGCCGCAGGGAGGAGCTGGGAGACCAGGAGAGGCCAGCCTGCCCACGCCCACCGCCCCGAGGCAAGTCCCAGAACTCAACCAGGGGCCCAGAACCACCCTAACCTGGACTCTACTCAGGGCAGCCCAGGAATGACCCGGTCCAGATGGACACAGAGCTGGGGCCAGGGCAGGGCACAAGTCTGAATCATGGGGGGGGTGCTAAGTGGAGACACCTCCCCATACAGCTGATTACACAGCCGGGGCCCAGGTTAGAAACATGGTTTGCACAAAGGTCCACAGCCTGGTGGGAGCTGAGACGGGGGCGGGGAGGGACCCCTGGAGGGCATACAAGAGAGAAGAGCCCATGGATGGTCCCCCAGCCCCTCCTGGGCAGGAGAGCGTTAGGTTCTCCCCCAGGGAAGCCACTCACTCAGCAGAGTGCCGCCCCGGTCTCTGCAGCCTCACGCCGCCCTGTGGTCTGGCCCGAGTGGCGGCACCCGCTCATCGCACAGAACGAGTGGCCACAGGCCTCACCGAGGACCACACCGTGGGGAAGGTTGGACACAGCTGGCTCACCTTCCAGGATGGCGGTCACAGGATATCAAAAGTGCCATCAGCAAGGGGCAGAAACAAGCACGCCATTTATAAATATGGGGTTAAGATGCCAGGAGGGGCCAGGTGTGCTGGCTCAGGGCTGCAATCCCTGCATGTTGGGAGGCTGAAGCAGGAGGATCACATGAGCCCGGGAATCTGAGACCAGCCTGGGCAACACAGCAAGACCCCAACTCCATAAGAAATTTTAAAAATAGCCAGGTGTGGTGGTGCGCACCTAAAGCCCCAGAGACTCAAGAGGCTGAGGTGAGAGGAGCTGGAGGCTGCAGGGAGCCATGATGACCCCACTGCACTCCAGCCCGGCCAACAGAGCGAGTCGTTGTCTCTGAAGAGAAAATGATTTTTATTTAGAAAAAAGTTGCAGAAACACACAAATCCACAGACCCCTGGATGCACCCTGCAGGTGGGCCAGGTCCTTGTCCAGGCTGCCACCCCGGGCTGTAGTCAGGGGAACAGGGGAGGGGGTGCGTGGGGCCTCCTCCTTCAGGGCTTTTGGGGATTTTTTTTTTTGGTACCTTCCTGTGAATCTATAATTATTTCAAAATTAAAAGAGTTTTTAAAAACCCAGGAGCTGTCTCTGGGAAGGGACCATGCTACAAGAGGGGAGGCAGCAGACATGAGACACGGGGAGCCCGGCACGGGGAGCTTTCCCAGCGGTGGCCCTGCCAGCACTTGAGCAGCTTGCTCTCCGTGGTGGGGGCCTTCCAGACGTTGTGCAGCAGCCCAGGCCTCGCCCACCCCAGTCGTGACTTACAGAAATATTTCCAGACACATGGAGTGTCCCTCAGGGCCAGGGCCATGACATAAAACACAGTGTGTCCAGTTAAATCTGGATTTTCCATCAATGACAAAGGGTTTTTAGTATAAGTAGATCCCAAATATTACAGGGGACGTACTTATACTAACAAACCGTTCGTGGCTTATCTGAGACATATACCCGAGTGTCCTGTACTTTTATTTGCTGAGGTCTGCAGCCCTCTGAGGCAAAGCCACAGAGAGAGGGCAGAGGTGAAAGGGCAGCTTTGGCCTGGCAGGTCGGCCCTGCTGGGGGTGGCTGGCCATCAGATCTCAGGAGAGGGGACTCCTGGGAGCGTGGCTGTCCTGGGGAGCCGGCCCCTGGAGGCCTGAATGGTCTCTCCTGCTCAAGGATGGTCAGGGGCATGGCCACAGCCTGACATGGGGTGGCACACCGCAATAGGACCTCATAGCCTCTCTCTGCCTCCAACATGAAGACAGATCAAAACCAACAGACAGGCCAGGAGTGGTGGCTCACGCCTGTAATCCTGGCACTCTGAGAGGCCGAGGCGGGCAGATTGATTGAGGTCAGGAGTTTGAAACCAGCCTGAGCAAGAGCGAGACCCTGTCTCTACTATAAACAGAAAGAAATTGGCCAACTAATATATATAGAAAAAATAGCCGGGCATGGTGGCGCATGCCTGTAGTCCCAGTTATCAGGAGGCTGAGGCAGGAGGATCGCTTGAGCCCAGGAGTTTGAGGTTGCTGTGAGCTAGGCTGACGCCACGGCACTCTAGCCCGGGCAACAAAGCAAGTCTCTGCCTCAGATAGATAGATAAATAAAAATTAAAAACAAAAAACCAGAGCCTCTTGTTTGAGAGAACGAAACGGAGGCAAAAGACACAGGACAGAGGACTGTCACCCAAACTATAGGAAGAAGTCTTAAAACCCGACAATAAGAAAACACCCTGGTTAGAAAATGGGCCAACGACCTTCCTATTCGCCTCAGCAGAGGCGAAGGCGCGCAGAGGGCAAATGAGCTTGCGAGGTGCTCCACGTCGTCCGTGGCTGGGGAGACGCAAATGGCAGGTGGGAGCACAGGATCGTGAACAAGAGCGGAGGCCTGCAGCTCTGCAGACACACTCCAGACAGCGTGGGAAAGTATGAAAAAAAAAAAAAAAGAAAAAACGAAAAAAACAGCCCAGGCAACAAAAAACAAGTACAGGTGGCCAACATGGGGTCTGGAGGCTCAGACACCCCCACGAAGTCGAAAACCTGAGTATAATTTTTGCCTCCTCCAGAACTTAACTGCTGATGGCCTACTATTGACTGGAAGTCTTGCCAATAATGTAAACAGTCCGTGAACACATCTTTTGTACGTTGTATGTATTATACGCTATATTCTCCTACTGAAGTAAGCTAGAGGAAGGAAAATGCTATTAAGAAAATCATGAGGGAGAGAAAATAAGTTTATTGTTCATCAAGTGGAAGGGGACCATGATAAAGGTCTTCCTTCATCCTCCCCATCCTCACCTTGAGTAGTGGGGGGGATTGGTCTTGCTGTCTCAGGTGGGGCAAGGGTGGCACATCCCCACCTGCGGGGGCCTGTGCAGTTCACTCAGCGTTGTTCAAGGGTCGACTGTGCTTTACACTGTATAATACTTACTAAAACAGGAATTCAGTGAAACGGACTCAAAGGGAAAGTGATGAAAGGAGACTGCAGATACAAGGAAGGGAATTTGGGGACCAAAACAGCATCATCACAGAGCTAATATGTGAACAGCAACAATCAAGAGATACTGCTGCAAATTACTGACGTAGAAGCTTCGAGATAATCACAAAATGTAGTTCTTAAAATGAAGAAATGAAAGCATGTAGAGGGAAGGTAATAAATATATACGACAAAGACTATGGTATTTCTGAATCGGGGACATAAGGAATTAGGCCTCTACCGCTGGGGTGGACACACTTTTCCTGTAAAGAGCCAGAAGGTGAATAATTTAGGTTGGAGAACTACAATTCCACCACTGTATACAAAAAGCCCCAGGCCATATGGAAAACAATGACCTTTCTTTACAAAAACAGGCAATGGGCTGGATCTGACAGGGTTGTGTTTCACTGACCCCAATACTAGATTCCAGGAGCCCATTCAGTGGCCAGCAATATATTTTTTAAAAAATCCAAAATAAGAAATAGAAGCATAACATTTCAAAACATCAGGGACTTAAATTAAAAAAGGTTCCTAAAAGCTTCTAGAAAAAACACAGTTCACTGGAAATAAGAACGGCTCTGGACTTCGAGGAAAAGCTGGCAGTAGGCCAGGCGCGGTGGCACTCTGGGAGGCCGAGGCGGGCGGATTGCTCAAGGTCAGGAGTTTGAAACCAGCCTGAGCAAGAGCTAGACCCCATCTCTACTATAGATAGAAATTAATTGGCCAACTAATATATATACAAAACATTAGCCAGGCATGGTGGCGCATGTCTGTAGTCCCAGCTACTCGGGAGGCCGAGGCAGGAGGATCACTTGAGCCCAGGAGTTTGAGGTTGCCGTGAGCGGGGCTGACGCCACGGCACTCACTCTAGCCTGGGCAACAAAGTGAGACCCTATCTCAAAAAAAAGGAAGAAAAGCTGGCAGCAAGAAAATGAAGTCGTGAGTACATGTGGCCACAAAAAAGAAAGGTAGTCGTGATGCGACATTTTTGGTGGCACGTTCCAACCTTGAATTTCAACAGGCAGCCAAGCTATCACGAAAAACCACTTGCCAAGATAAAATGAGCCCCAAGAGTCACCCCACGTGTCTCAGGAAGTTGTTACAGAAGGTGCTGCTCCAAAACCAAGGCTGAGGAAGGCAAGGAGCACAGGCGGTGGGTCTGGGAGAGGAGAGGGCGGGAGGGTCAGGCCCAGGTCTGGGGGACCCCGCCAACAAGCAGGGCATCAGACACAGGCCCAGCGGGGATCCCGCTGCGGTTTCAGGGATCCAAGAGCCGGGAACTGGGGCAGGGAAACCTCAACCGATGGATGCTGCGAACAATCGAGGCCCTGAGCCGCCTGGCAGTGGACAGCACTCGGCCACCAGGACGTCGGTGGAGATGACCAGGTGCGGGAGCTCTGGGGAGGGGCGGCGGGGAACACTGGGCACACCTGCAGGCGGGAACCCGGACCCCGCTCTGCCGAGGGAGGGCCTGCCAGGCAGGCGAGGGGGACCCCCACTCGGAAGTGGCCCCCGGGGG